ATCAAAGTGTAAATATTTCCTACAACCCATTTCCATTTTTTATTTCATGCTTATTCCTCCTGGGAAATGATAAGCAAGTCGAATCCAGTTTTCAGTTACATTATTTAAGTATGCGAAACTATTCGGCACATTTTGTTCTACACAGTGCCTATCTCAGAATTATGTAGTTTTTACATATAGAAAAAAAATCTATAGGGTTTACATCTTGTTATTTCGGCGGATGTGGTAACACAACAATCTTAGGATGTAGCATTTATATCCCCATTTGAACCCACCCCGGTATATGTAAACTACAGACACAAAAGGATATTATGTATTGTATTTCGCTTTACATTCTGCCCATGTATAGTGATAACAATTTAATCATTTGATTTAATAAACGGTATTGGATATGATGTTAAATGTATTTTGTCATTATTTGCCATCTAAGTCATAATGAGAGTAAAATAATACAAAACAATTATTCTATTTCTTTTTTTTTTTATTAAAGATAATCAAAAATATAAATGTATAGACAAAACTAAGCATGGTAATCGAAACATGTTTCCGATATCTGGTTCATTAGTCTCAGCCTTCGAATACTGTATTAAGTTTGTTATGAAGCATCACTAACCCTGAGAGGAGCAAACAAGATGCTCTGCCCCAACACAGAAAGCTCTCACCTAACTGTTGGCCACATCTAAAGGTAAGGATAGTTTCTTTTTCTCTCTGTGTATATATATACATGTGTTCGTGTGTGTGTGTGTGTGTGTGTGTGTGTATGTGTGTGTGTGTGTGTGTGTGTGTGTGTGTGTGTGTGTGTGTAAATATATATATATATATATATATATATATACACGCTCGTGTGTGTGTGTGTGTTATATATATACATATATATATACACACACACGTGTTCATGATTTCATAATTATGTATACATGGATATGTTTCTTTCTGAGTACTGTCCATATGTATTTGTGTAATTACCTCTTTTTATTTTTCTCTTTCCTTTCCTTCCTCCCTCTCTTTCTTTCTGTTTATATATATGTTTTATAAATAGATATACATGTTTGTTTTGTATATGCATATATAAATAAATGCGAGTGCGCGCGCGCACGCGTGTGTGTGTGTTTGTGTGTGCGCGCGCGTTTGTGCTAAGCAGGAGTTTAAATGAAGTCAGATGAATTACTTTAGGAATATATTTTAAAATTATAGCAAGCATGTTCCTATCATATTCATGAAAATATAATTATAGGACAAATAATACTGACTAGTTACATTTTATCAAGCCTTAAAATCTATACAAAGATATGGGTATCCCTGTAAGAAGTACTTTAGAATAGCAATACGGGGCTTTACAGGATACAGAAGGAACAATCGTTCACTTATGCATATGCAGGTGCAGGCTGGTAAGATGTAGAAGGACGAGGAGCGCTGTATTGGGCCTCTCCCTCGTACGTAACCTGGGCCACGTATCCAGAGTCGCCGTTCACAGTGTAAGTAACCCTCTGAACACGACCGTCAGGGAGCAAGACATGATACGACCCCTGTGTGTCATAGCCGTTGCGGTTCTCTTGATGACTGTAGTCGTTACTAGAATAGTCGTGATTGACAGCGTAGTTGAAGTCATATTGAGCAGGTTCCTGTGAAATTTTAAATTTTAGTTTGATTAGTATGTGCATATTATGCATATTGCATAATTTCACCCACACATACCTCTTTCTCTCCCTCTGCATATCTCTCTGTTTATATATGTCTATCTACAGTCTAACAATAGATACGGCGATTCTCTTACTGAGGGAGCTGGCGCATGGTAGGAGGGAGCAGGAGCGTTATAGGTTGGCGGAGGAGCATGATAGGTTGGCGCAGGGGTGTTGTATGAAGGAACTGTGCTCCCAATTACACTAGCCACTATAGCAAAGGTAATGAAAACTCGGAGAGCCATGGTGATGATAAAAGCACACCTCTGTAAGATGTAGAACATCAGTGTGTTTTTCTTTATATAGGTGTATCTTGACCCTGGCGTGACGTCATGATTGCTACAGGGAAACCAAAATTGCAAGAAAAATGGTTGAACTGAAGAGAAGGTAGAAAATGCTTCTCTACTCTCTCTCTCACACACACACACACACACACACACACACACATACACACACACACACACAGACACACACATACACACACATATACACACTCATACACATACACGTATATTATCATGTGCATGTGTGTGTGATTTCTACTAATCATAATAAACCCCCTGTCTAGTCATCCCAGACCATGGGGATATGCCCAATTTTGTTCTTAGTCTTTGAAGATATATTTAGATATATGGTAACTACCATAGAAAGCTCGAATGAAATACATCTCAACCAGTTCCGAATAAGTCAGAAGTCAAACGAAATGTTACGTACCGGTTATGAATCTGTATGGAAATGGATTTTTTATATCCGGATATAAACAGTTATGTAGTTAACAGCCTCTGTGAATAAAAAACTGAAGTTCATTACACATACTGTACAGTAGATGAACATAATGTTAATATAAAGCAGATGACAATCGTTTTTGGTTTTATCAATTTAATCTGCACATGCAGGTCGATATACTGTGAATTCAATTTTCTTTTAGCAGAATGACACGGTAATACTACTTCAAATGCCACACCAAAACGTTATGCAGATTACATGACAGAGGGATATGAAGGAACAAGGAGATTAGAGTTTTTACGGAGGAGAGTTTGCAGAACTTTGTGATGTTGATATTATAGCCATTCTAATCATTGAGTATGTTTTATAATCCTTTCTTTTAGACTTGAGCGTGCGTGCTCAGCAGGCTGTACCCGTTCTTGTTCAGAAGTAGTGGAACACCTTAAATTTTCTTAACATATGAGTTCATGCAAAAGGTATTGTCACGACATCAGTTAACAACAGAGCGCAGTTAGCATGAAAAAGAAAATCCGACCTCTTATGTGCATTGAGGTCTTTTTTTCTACCATAAGATATTATATAAATAAATAAATACACATATATGTATATATACATATATATGAATAAGTATACATATATATATATATATATATATATATATATATATATATATATATATATATATATATATATATATATATATATATATATACGGAAGTGTCTGTCTCTCTGTGTGTGCGTCCGTGCGTGTATGTGCGTTATACATAAAACATGTATATTGATATATTTATCATATCCGATGTATATGAATATAAATAAGTACATATATGTCTATCTATTACTTACTTACCTTTATATCTATTTCTATATACATTTGTATATATATATATATATTTGCATATATATATATATATATATATATATATATATATATATATATATACATATATTTGTGTGTGTATTTATGTATATATGTATGTATATATCTGCATATATGTGTATATATTTGTGTGTGTGTTTGTGTGCATGTATATTTATATGTGTATATAGAAATATATGTATATATGTATAGAAATGGAAATATATGTGTGTATATATATATAAGTATACATACATATGTGTCTATGCACACTCACACACACATACACACACACACACACACACACACACACACACACACACACACATATATATATATATATATATATATATATATATATATATATATATATATGTGTGTGTGTATATGTGTGTGTGTGTGTGTGTACCTATATGTATAAATATGTGTGTGTATGAGTGCGTGTGTGTGTGTGAGTGTGTGTGTGTGTATGTGTGTGTGTGTGTGTATGTGTGTGTGTGTGTGCCATATATGTATATATGCATTTACACACATATGTGTATGTGTGTTTGAGCTGCGAGTGTATGTATGTCTGTCCTTGTATTTGTGTTAGTGTCAAAGTATTTTTTTTTCTTTTCTTTTCTTTTTTTTGGAAAAAAAAAAATCAATATGTTGAAAATAATGTCGTTTTTTATTCATTTAGCAATCCTCGATGATATCGTATATAAAAAATGACTGATATTGTAGGCATCAGATACAGATTCATAACCTTTCAAAAGGTTTTGCATTATCATTTATTTTCATCCGTAAGCGGGGGTAGGGGCAGGCTGGTAGGATGGGGCAGGAGCAGGTTGATAGGTTCTTGAAGGCTGCTGGGCTGGGTACTGAGCCTCTCCCTGATAAGCCACATCAGCCAGGAATCCAGAGTCGCCGTTCACGTTGTAGGTGACTGTCTGCAGGCGGCCGTCGGGGAGCTGGACGTAGTAGGTACCCTGAGTGTCGTAGCCATTACGGCCTTCTTGGTGGCCGAAGTCGTTGCCGGAATAGTCGTCTTTCACAGCATAATTGAAGTTGTACTGTGCGGGTCCCTGATTCAAAGAAATAGTCTTACTGCTATGCATAGATTGCCTATATGCTTCAATATATGCTTTATTAAATTTATCTTAGAGTGTGGATTCATATTTGCATGCACGTATAAACCGTTCTGCAAATTTATAATAATAACGAAAGAATAATTGGCTTACCGAAGGAGAAATAGGAGGATTATAGGCGGGAGCAGGAGGGTGGTAGGCAGGAGTTGGAGGGCTGTAAGCAGGAGTAGGTGGGCTGTATCTCGGCACTGATTCGGCAAGGGAGCCCACTACCAGAGCAGCGATAGCCACAGCCTGTGGAAAGTTAAATAATAATTGATAATTACGCTGATAGATTAACTTGTAAATTTTCCTTTGATACCATGAAAAGCATATGAAAGAATAATGTTTTCATAAAATAAATTCTAAATACGAACAAGAAAGCATACCTTAAAATACATGTTCTTTGTTAAAGAGAATGTGAAATTGCTGCTCTCCTTAATGCGCACGGCTTTATATACTCCAGTTTGAGTGACCTTGCTCTGAGATATGCGTTTTTGGAGAGTAAAGATTTAAAGGGCCAACCTTGCAATTCATGTATATGCTTATATACACATAAATGTGTGTGTGCGTGTATACTATATATATATACATAATGTGAGTGTGTACGCTTGGGATTGTGTACAT